CCTGGACCAGCGGGAGACCATCAGGGAGCTGACCGCCAAGCTCACCTTGTGTGAGGGCTTCGGGGGTCACCACAGCGGGGGTCACCATGACACCCACCACCACAATAACCATGACAACCACCACGACACCAATCACGACAATCACCGCGACAACCACCACGACACCAATCACGACAATCACCGCGACAACCACCACGACACCAATCACGACAATCACCGCGACAACCACCACGACGGCGACCACGATGACCACCACGGGCATCACGGCAGCCACCACACGTCCTCGTCCTCGACGCACCACGGGCCGCCATCGTATCACGGCAGCGATCACCACTACTCCCACGGCAGCCACAGGTCGGACCCCCACCACAGGAAGGGCCCGTACAGCAAACACAGCTCCTTCTCTCCAGAGCAGACGGGAAAGACGCTGCAGACGCTGAAGGAGCGACTGGAGAACCTGCAGGTGAGACATGGCATCGCCATCATTTTACGATAATGATTCTTTATTTGAACTTTGCTCTTTCTCCACCACACAAACATTTTAAGAAGCTCGACCGTGTGTCTGCAAACACAGAGATGAACAGTCTGCCGGGCGGCGGAAGCCAATCAAAGGTTTGACTTGATTGGGGTCAGATCCTGCGTCACTGAGGGTCATGAGCTCCGCCGCCGAATCAGCTGCCACGATGTCTTCTGCCAAAACTCTGTGAGACAGACGTGTCTCATTAAGACGCTGGACTGGGTCTGAGTTCACCACCAAATAAAAGCTGTTTTTTTACACGTGTTACACTGAGAAATACTAATAATATAATTGAACTTTTATTGTAATTGAAATAAATAATAACCATTATTTTTATGTTATGGTTTCACACACCGTCCTTAAAGCTCATATCACAGCGGGTCATTGGTTTTCTCGGAGCCGCTCGACGCTCATGACGTTTTGGAAATGATCAGGCTCTTGTTCTCTCTCCTGAGTCTCAGAGGCTGAGCTCAAACAGGAAGCTGCTGCAAATTGATTAGGCCTCAATCACCTCCGACCTCAAACAACCGCCGTCACCAACCGTCAGACCAGCGCGGCTCAGAGGACGTCGACCAGTCACATGATCAGAATGAATCCCAATCATTCATTTCTTGCTCAGATTTTTTCATTCACTCATTTAATGTTGAGTTTATCGATGCAGGGAAACACAAGCATCAAACAGAAAAGTAGAGATAATTCAATAACGATGAAAAATGATTCAAGAGATTCAAGATTAAATACTTTATTGCCTTTTAATTGGAATTTGTCTCGGTGAACTCACAACAAAACAAAAGAGAAACTCGTCACGGTGTGAAACACAAGAATCAAATCTGAGCAAAAAACAAGAGTAGCAGCAAAAACTGAATCCAGAAGGAGCAGAGGTTCACGACCTCTTCATAAAAAGCTTTTTAAAAAATTCCTGTTGTTTTAGTTTAAACCTGTAAAACATGGAACCTGCTCCCTGGAAACTTCAGCTTGTGTTGTTGTTGTTTCTTTAGTTGTGTCTTTGTGTCTTTGCTGCGAACAGCAGGTGACATCATGTGCTACACTTTCTAAACTGTGTTCCAGCAGCTGGAAAAAAACATTTCTGCTGTTCCAACAATCCGAGACTAACACCCTGCTGCCCGCCGGCCTGTGAACGGCTCATTATGGGCGCAGGTGGTCTCAGGCGGCACTCAGGGAAAGTGTTGCCAAAAAATCCCCTTCGAGAAGTGGAGCCAGGATTTACCTCCACCGCTCCCTCCTCAAACAGGATGTCTATGCCGGCCTCTGGCCACGCGCCGCAGAGCGCTATCCAGCTTCACCTTCAATTAGCTTCATCCTGCCTGACGCGGATATTAATCGTGGCGTGTGCTGGCATGGAACAAAGCCGGATTTGCTGGTGAGGAAGAGGAGGGTGAGCGGGGGCAGGGCGGAAACTATTCCCCTGCAAATTAAAAATTTTAATCAGACCAGCAGTTCTTCTTTATTCTCTTTGTTCACCTCTGACTCCTTCAGACTGGTCCTTGTCCAAGGTGGTAACAGTTCCTGCCCAAGCTCCGCCCTCTTCCCTGAGCTGTCAGCACTGTCACATGGTCTTCTTCGTCGTCATCAGGAGTCTTTCAAGATACAGTCGCTGTTATTACTTCATCAAGAGAATTAAAGTTGCTGTTATGTTTCATGACGATGAAAAATGTGTCCAGCATCTTTTCTATTGATCCTCGAAGGGTCACAGGGAGAATCTTTGACTTTGCTTTACCTCTCAATGTGTTTTGTGATCTCCCAGAATACTTTCACATTACCTTGGAATACTTCATTGATACCAGAGTACTTAATTTAGTTTCATAATTCTAAATGTTAAATAGTTGAAGAGTCTGTGAAGCTGTTGGAAGTAATTTTGTCTCATGTTTCCACGTCTGCAGGCGAGGAACTCGTCCAGCTCGTACTCCAGCTCACTCAGAGAACTGCTGCAGAGGAAGATCACCGCCCTGGAGGAGCAGCTGCACGGTTACCACCGAGATCACCATGACTACGGCAACCACGACGACCACCATGATGACCATCACGATGACCACCATGGCAGCGGCCACCATGACGACCACCACGATGACAACCACGATGACCACCGTGGCAGCAACCACCATGACGACCACCATGATGACCATCATGACGACCATCACGATGATCACCATGGTAATGGTTACCGCAACAACCACCACAACAGCCATCACAGCAACCACCACGGCAGCCCCCGCTACAACCACCACAGCAGTCACCACAGTCGCCATCGCGATCACAGCTATGATCACCACTATGACTGGCCCCGCGGCCGCTATCATGGCCGCTATAACAACCATCGCAGCGACCACCATGATGACCATCACGACGATCATCACGGCGACCACCACGACGACCACCATGGTGATCACCACGGTGATCACCACGATGATCACCATGGCGACCATCATGACGACCACCATGATGACCACCACGGCCACCACGACTACCACCAAGAACCCGGCCACCACGATGACCACCACGACGATCACCATGACAAGCACCGCGGCAATGACCACCATGAAGGTCGCCATGACAACGATCATCACCCTCGACGACTGCCTTTCAGCAGCAAAGAGACGAGTCTGCGTGGCGCCGGTCACAGCAAGCTGGAGACGGTGCTCGGCCAAATACACCACGGCCAAAGCGACCACAAGAAGCTGAAGAGCCCCAGCGCCTTCATGCTCGACTTCCCCATGAGGACCAACTACATGTACGCCAGGATGAAGCGTTCCGTGGTCAACGAGATCTTTGCCCTGACCATCTGCCTGTGGCTGAAGGCAGGGGCGGGACCAGGCCTCGGCACGCCATTCTCCTACGCTGTACCCGGACAAGCCAACGAGCTGGTGCTCATCGAGTGGGGCAGCAACCCGATGGAGCTGCTCATCAATGACAAGGTAAGAGAAATGCAGGTGGTTAGATTTCCATGTAAACACGGTGTGTTCTGCAATTCAAAGCAACATCAAAGCAAATTTTTTACCCTGTGAACACAATATCTCAGGAACACATTCAGGAAATCTGCTCAGATGTTTTACTAACATCCACTGGAGCTCACAGATGACCTGATTAGAAGAAAGGTCAGAGGTCACATTTCTATGACCTTACAAAACTATTTTTTTGTTCTTTTCAAATGTGGCATAAATAAATATTCTTGAACTTCAGCCCCTGATAAAAACTCATTTTTGGTAGAATTGAATTCATCTTGTACTGTATCTGTCAGATTTAATCACACTTTAAGATGAACACAGATTGACACACAAATTATTTAATTATTCTATTGAGCCGTTAATCTTTCATTCTCTGAAAGGCTGAAACCTTCGTCCTCCTGAGCGTCAGACTGATACTCGTCCTCCTCCTGAGCTCTGAGCTCCACAAACAAATCAACAGAGCAATTAATCTGATTAACGTAATGAACGGGCCTAAACTGTCGTGCTTGTTTTGGTCCGGTCGCAGACTTTGAGTCAGCAGACTGATCGATGACACAGTTAAATAATCCTCAGATTCATTTCAGTCTCTTTCATTAATTCACTCAAGGTGACAAAGACGAACACAAAACAAGTGTGTGTGTGTGTGTGTGAAACTCATTTATGATTAAATGTCTGAAATCTGACATCACACAGTCGGGCCTCAGTTTTCTTATTATCTTGTCACAGACTGAGCCGCTTCATTTATTAATATTATGAGTGTAATCTTATCATTCATCATCACCTGAGCAGAGGAGGTCATGTGTCAGTTGTTTTGTTCATCAGCAGGATTATGCAAAAACTACTTAATGGGTTTTCATGGACAAAAGAACGTGGGCGGCGAAAATTTGACTTTACGTTTTTATCTGTCTTCAACAGTTCTAAAACAAACACTGTTGAACTTTGTGGCAGAAATCAGTTTTACAGTATTATGATATCATACTATTAATATACCATGATGAAAGTTTTGATTACATCATCATAAAAAGACAATAACTTCCATAATGTTTATCTGACTCGTTCTCTCCACCTGTGTGTTAAGGCGGTGACTCTGCCCATAACCATGACGGATGGGAAGTGGCATCACGTGTGCGTGACGTGGTCGACCCGTGACGGAGCCTGGGAGGCCTACCAGGACGGGGTGAAGAAAGGCTCGGGGCAGAACCTGTCAGCCTGGCACTCCATCAAACCAGGAGGGGTCTTCATCGTGGGGCAGGAGCAGGTACGAGATGTGATGCTGGAAATGAAATGAGCATAAGTGTAAATTAATTTGTGATAAATTAACATGTTTAAAGTTCCCAGTCACCATTTCTTCTCTTCTAGTCCGTCTCTGATTTATAGTTTTAACAAACTCTGTGTGCTCAGGACACGGTGGGAGGACGCTTCGACGTCACTCAGTCCTTCATGGGCGAACTCTCAGATCTGCAGTTCTGGTCCAGAGTCCTGACGTCCAACGAGATCCATACCCAGGCGACCTGCGGAGGCCACCTCATCGGGGACGTCATGTCCTGGTCCGAGGAGTCCGTGGAGCTCCATGGTGGACTCACCGAGTTCCCGTTTGAACCCTGCCACTAAGAGCCGCCACTGGACCCCCGCACACAGATCACGATTATACGCCTGAGTCCAAAATGGCTGGAAAGTTGGAAAGAATATGATTTTGTCTCGGATCAAAGATGATGGGATTATTCACTTCACTGCTCTGGTGTCTCAACGCAGAACTTTATGAACATAAGGTCAGAACGGGCAGAGCGAGGAGTTATTTAGCTTTTTCTATATATTTTCTTTTTGCCATTCCTGTTCCGATCTTTCTGCCTTCTCCACCCTCTCCCCCCTCGCTCTCACACCCTCAGCAGGACGACTCTGAAGGCTTCAGAGAGCGCAGGGCTTTGGATTTACCGGCTGCGTGGTCATGACTGCGACTGCTCTGAGGGATCTCAAACACATAATAGGATTTTCCTCCATCAGCACAGGTCCAAAGGTTGCTCGTTGCCATTAGCTCGCCTGCTCCAGCTTGTTCTCTCTGGTATGTGAGCAAACCCAAATGTTACAGGACGTGAAGGAAGAAGCTGAAAGGCACAGAAACGATGAGTCACACGTGTTAAAGCTCTAAAATCACACATCTGCTCGCTGATCGGTGGAGACGAAGGAATAAAGCTGACGCAGGACTTTTTTTATGAGACAGGTCGGAGTTAGCGAAATCGAATGGTGGTGATTTTGCACATTGAGATTTTCTATTAGTATTTCATATTGAAAAAAAACCACACTTTTTGTAGGAATGAAATTTGTATTTCCAGATAAAAAAAAAAATCTATATATAATCCACATATTCGTCATAACTGTAAACTGCATGTTGTTGATGCAGGACTGAGTGTGATGTGATGTGATGTTGACTTTTATGAGTTTCTGTCTGTTTCTCTGAGGAAAACGTCAAACAGCCGTTACACAAGAGCAGCGCAGGTCAATGTCACACATGACGGCACCGAGGCAGGTTCACGTCCCTGAATGTGTCCCCGCGGTAAAGCTGAGGTCTCCTCGGCAAGTGGTGGCTTACAGCAGGATTTACCTGTGCACAGCTGATCTGATCCTGCCTATTTCCAACCAGCTCAAGCCACACACACACACACACACACCCACACACACACACATGCTCAGAGAAGATAAAGAGGTGAAAAGACACACTGTTGACCTCAGGCTCAGTTTCTAGCTGCACCAGATTGATTCTTTGTCGTCATCTGAAGGATTCATTATTCATTTATTATCACATTAATCTCATTTTACCCCGTGTTTGTTTGTGAAGCACATCTCTGGACCTGACTGTGTTTTACTACTTGTTTCCCCCGCTGAGTTAAACTCAGACCTCATCCTGCATTCCTGTCGGCAAAAGGAGGTATCTGTTGTTGCCATGGTGACAGGAAATATCTCTCAGCATCAGGACCACGACGTCCCGTCGCTCTGCAGCTGTGAATATCCACAGAATGTCCCTTCGACTGTAATGCCAAGACGAGCAGCACTTTGAATCCGTGCTCCTGCTTCACCTCTCATGACAGTGGGCCAAATGCATGTGACGTTTGATTCCCGTGTTCACACACCTCCTCCTGCTCCCTGACTGTAGAGTGTGTGTGCTGTGCAGAGAGACTCGCTTATTCTCGCCTTCGGTGCACATTCTGACGTCTGATTAGGTTTTTCTGTAATGTTTAATTCTCGTGTCTTTTTGGCTGTAAATATACAAAGTATTACTACAGTGTGTTCAGTCAACAGTCTCCCTCGTGTGTAAGCCAAAAACTATAAACTTAAAGATAAAACTTGAAAGAGGAGATATATGCACTATAAACACTGTCAAATATTTGTAAATAGGCCTCTGTCGGGATTTTGAATAAAACTATTTGAAATATTTTATGACTTCAAACCGGACTTCAAACTCTTTTCTTTGAATGTTGTGTATGTTTTTTGTGGTTTATGATTCATCTCATAGCAGCGATATTAGTTCCATTTGAAAAGACGTCAGACTCGTGGAGCAGCAGATATTTCTTCATCCTCTGCAGGAGAAAAAGAGCCACTGAGGAATCTTGAACTCTTGAAAGGCAAAGTTCAATTCAATCACACAAAGTTTGATTAACCTTTATAGATAAAACTTAGAATAAACATTTCAATATAATTTCAGAGTTGTTTTGAAGTATGATGACAGTTTTCACACTTAGATTTAAAAACCTACTTCATGATGTTGTTCGTGTGTGAAAGGTCGAGAAACAGCTGGAATATTTCAAATCGCTGCTTGAAGTTGACGCTGGTTCTGGATTTCTGCTGTGAAAAGGTCACGAGGAGCCTGAAGCAAACTTCCACTGCAGGACACTGGGGGGCGCTGTGGCCACAG